CAGTCTGAATAAGTTGGCTCGGGGGGACCCCATAAATCTCCTACTGTCCCTTGACATCTCCTATTGTCCCTTCAACCAGCCCATCGTGGTAGTAAGAAACACAGCCACCATGGAAGACTTTTATGGGGTCCCCCCAAGCCAACTTATCCAGACTGAAGAAGCTGCTTGGACAAGTAGCGAAACGTCTCTAACCGAAAGAAAAGAAGTCCAGTTGCCAGGACTCAACTTCCCGACAACTCCACCTGGATGACTGAGAACCTTCATCAACAAGGTTGAAAAACCCTGCCCTAGGGATACCGCCTTCCAATCGGTCATGCATGGCTTATGATGAAGTGCATGATGCCAACCCAGCCCTAAATTAAAATCTCTCTCCAGTCCAAAGCAACTCCTTTGGAGGGTTTGACTAAATTTCCTTGGTTCTGCCAGATTCGAGCTACACCTTTGAGACAAAGGCTCAAGAAAAAGCCAATTTGCCCATTTAAAAAGAATACATAAATTCCAGTCATTCTTTGGCTGTGACTTCTGGTTAGGCAAAATGCCAGTTCTTTGGTGAGAAGAGAACAAGGGTGGGTTTTTTTTTTTCATATTTGCAGAATTGAAGAACCCTTTTTGGTGGCTTCTGACTGGGAAAAATCATAATAGGATAGTAATCTTCCAGAAATAGACTGTCCTGTTCAGGGAACGCTCACCTTCTGCCAAGCGCAGAATTCTGATCTTGAACAACTAAAAGCAGCACCTTGTTATATATAAAACAAACGGAGCCTTTGTTATGGTCAACAATCCCATACAGACTTCTTAGGGCATTTCACCACTGAAATGTGCTTACCAATCCCTGGGTCAGTGTGAAATTTGCACACACACTCCTCTCCCGCCCGTTTCCCCTTCCAAACAGAATTCCACTTTGGAATCCAGATTCATCTTGAGTTCTTCAGGCCAACCTAATTCCAATTCTGTGTCCCTACAGAATTCTCCTATATTCCTTATCCTATCCAGCTCAACTGATCCCTGGTGACATTGCATTTTTTGCCTCAGAGCTGCCCCCCCCTCCACAGTAGTGATTTCCGTGTCCTTGAACGGGCAGAAAACGACCCTGGTGGGAAATCTGCTGCCCCCCTGCCACTCCCCATCCAGTCTTTATAGCCTCTATTGCAGGGGATACAGCGGGAAACAGATGCAGCTGCTTTAATGGGCGCAGAGGTGGTGATCTCATGCTCTCACCTCCAAACTGCATCTAACATACTGCACAGCCCTCTCAAATGCCCAAATACCCCATTTATCAATTGGGCTTAATAAAGATATCACCTCCACATGGGTTTAGGATTAACTTTCTTCCTGGTGGTGGTCAGCCATGACTTGATCTTTACAGAAGGTCCCAGGAGAGGAGTACAGCCTTGAAGAAGGTATGCAACAGCTATTAGAAAAACACATAGCTTTGCCCAGAAAAACAGGAGATGGTGAGGAAGAAACTCAAGATTGCCCCACCTTGACTCTCTTTGGTGTAAGAGAGAGGAAGAGAGAAACTCCATCAGTTTTCAAGAGTCTGTTGTTATACCCTATAATAGAGTTCCAGTAGTTCTTATGGTATCTGTTTCCTGACCTGGCCTACCTCAAAGGACTGGCACTCCCTTACTTCTATGTGTGCACAGAGGCTCCTTTTCTCCTGATCAGACTGGCCAACCAAACTGAGCAGCCTGCTTCAGCTCTCACGCATCAATGTGGAACAGATCTTTCAAGCTAGGTCCTAACTGTTGCAAGAGGCTGAGAAACCAGTTTCTCTTTTGCTTCAGAGGGCAGGACTTGAATCAGTGCATGGAGACTAAAGGGAAATTGATTTGGGCTGAGGATCACAGCCAGTGACAGCTTTAACCATGGTTTGTGGGATAAACCACAGTTACTTGGACTCATCCACCACACCAAGGCATGATTGCATTAACACTTGTCAAGCTAAGGTTTATTTTTAGACATGGTTTGTGGCTTATGTGATCAGTATAGTCTGCTAACCAGAATTTAGGGTGCTGTGCATCTAATTGTGATTTATTCCATAAACCACAGTTAACAATGCATCAATCGAGCTATTAGATGAAACTCCAGCTACATTTGACAGAAAGTGTGTTAGCAAAAGAAAGGCAACTTCACAGACAGGCTAACTATTAGGCACTTCTAACTTTTGTTTTAATCCGTTTCTATGACATACATTATGCTCTTAGCATTATAATACGGGAAAACAAATCCATGTTGGTGTCCAAAATCAGGAAGCGAGAGACCAGTCACCAAAGAAAAGTGGCAAAACCATACTGGGACGGGGAATTGAATGAAAACAAATGAGGCTATTTCTCTGTCAGACACGTGATCTACCACTAGTTGATGTCCGTGCACAAACGCAATGGGTTTATCTGCCCTCCTAACTGCTTCCTTTACTCACTGTGGTGCATAGCTGAAATCGGTCTTCAAGAAGCTGGCTTCGCTGATGCTGAGTAACCCACTGGCATCCTTTATCAGCAGGACAAGAGTGCGCACACATAATCAGTCACAACATAGAAGGTGAGGGGACTGGGGGGCATGCCCACTGCAAGATTCCTGCAGGTGGCAGAGAAAGTTTTGCCTATCCCATGCTCAGCCCTGGGAATGTGACAACTAGCCACAGTGTGACTGTAGATGTACTGATCGCCTGATACACATGTACGTCTGCACAACGCAGCAGATTCACGTGGGGTCCGTCCAACCTGGCTCCTTTATTGGACTACAACTCCCATCCTTCTTAGCCAGGAAGACCATTGGCCTGACGCATCTGGAAGCCAAGGAGTTAGGGAAGGCTCAGGGAAAGGGTCGCCTGTAGATACCCTTCAAAGTTGAGCATTTTTCCACATTCCAAACTGGTATGAAGTTTCCTTATATTGCTGCTGCTCCTCTTGTAATTTGGCTAGGTTCAGAGCTTCCCGGGCATGGATTTTCTGGTGCTTCACCAAGACGGTGCGGTGGGTGAACCTCTTCCCACAAGTGGTGCACTGGTGAGGCCTCTCCCCCGTGTGGACTTTCTGGTGACGGATGTGGACCGCCCGATCAGAGAAGCATTTCCCGCAGGTGGCACACTTGAAGGGCTTCTCGCCCGTGTGGGTCCTTTGGTGCACCATCAGGATCTGCCGCTGGCTGAAGCTCTTCCCGCACTCCGAGCAGGTGTAGGGCCTCTCCCCCGTGTGGACTCGGTGGTGCTTGACCAGCTGGGAGGACGTGTTGAAGGATTTCTCGCAATCGGGGCATTTGAACGGCTTCTCCCCCGTGTGGGAGCCCTCGTGTTTCTTGAGGCTGGAGCTGCGGCTGAAACCCTCTCCACACTGGGCGCACTTGAACGGCTTCTCCCTCACGTGCACCTTCTGGTGGTTGAGCAACTGAGACTTCTGCGTGAAGCTCTTGTCACACTCAGAGCAACTAAAGAGTTCCTTTTCAATGTGGACTCTGTAGTGTCTGGTGAGGACTGAGCTGACAGTGAAGCTCTTTCCACACTGATCACAGGTGTAGGGCCTCTCTCCCGTGTGAGTTCTTTCATGGGCCACCAGAGTGGACTTGAAGCTGAAGCATTTCCCACAATTCTGGCACATGAATGGCTTCTCGCCTGTGTGGGTCCTCTGATGAGCAGCAAGCACAGTACTCCGGCTGAAGGTCTTGCCACACACAGCACACGTCTTCTTCTCTCGACTTCTGCGCCTTCTTTTGACCGCAGTGGATTGACTTGAGTCCCCGTCTTCTTTTGCTAGAGGAAATACTTCAGCTCTGTGCTGATCTTGGTTGTCCTCATCCTTCTGGGCTGCTCCATCCCCAAAAACCACAGGACCATCTCCATCCTCTTCAGACCAATCAAGTCCTTCCCAGGAGGTCCCACACAGTTTCACTGGCTCAGCTTCCTCCAACTGGGGATCTCCCTGCCTCGTCTCAATCACCCACTCATCACCTGTGGGGAGCATGGAGGAAAGAGGAGTTACCCAAGAACCCAAGCAGAGCATGGCTGCCACATCAGACCAAAGTCCCTGTTATCCCAGTCCCCCACTTCCCAACTGGCCAACCAGATGGCTCCAAGCAGTTCCCAACCATGATGTTGCAGACATTTGGTTCCAAGCTCAGATCAAAAAAATCCCACCTCCAGCATTCCATTAGAACATTACTCTTGAAGCCCAGAATCTCAATTATGACCCAATTGGTGGCTGTGTGCTTCCAAATATCAGTTGCATAGGAACAACGATGGGAGATGGGGTGAATCCTGGCTTGTTATAAAGGTGCAAAAAAAGCCACAATCTCATGTTTGAATGCAATTCTGTTCTGTTTTCCCACATGTACGCTGAACTTTAACATGGCAAAATTTCCTGGCTTAGAGGAATTTAGCTCTGGCATTGAGAAACAGGCCAGAGAGGGGAATCGGTTACTCATCCCCAAGTAAGTAGAAATTGTGAGAAAGAGACTCACAACAGCCCTGCCTTGTCCTTGTCATCCTTAAAAAAGATCAGCAAAGGTTTGGAACAGGCTTCCACGATTCTGTTAATTTATCCCACAGGAATAAAGCATCTTATCCCACAGGAATAAAGCATCTTATCCCACTCATCATAAAGCATGGAATCTCTGCAGGATTTGTTTCTTGACCTGGCCTACCTCGAAGAGCTGATGCTCGGCTTAAAGCAACTTCTGAAAATTCACGCACCTCAGAGACAACAACATACCACCTGCCCTTACCTTCTGAGTCGGTGTCACCATCCCGCTCCTGCTTGATAACAGTGCTGAGCTGTTTCTCTCCAACGCCTGACAGAGGCTGCTGCGCCGTGGAGAAACCCAGAGCTTCCTCCTGGGCCAGGCTTGGTCCCTGAAATAACCCCAAAGTTTATCTTCAGGAACAAGAAACAGAACGGAAAGTAGGTTGGGGAGATTTCAGAAAGTGAGGGTGCCAGTTTCTTCCCCCACAAAAAGACACATCCTGTCTGAAGATCGCACATATTCCTCAAAAAGAAAAGGGAGCTTATACTCCTTAAAGCAGTGTTTCTCAACCTTGGGAACTTTAAGATGTGTGGACTTCAACTCCCAGAATTCCCCAACCAGCATCTCTGTCTCTAAAGCGAGAGGTGAGTAGGCGAGATCTGGATTATAAACATTCAGATAACTGCTAGATGACAACCTGGAGTTAGGTTTTTAGCAGCTAGATTTGGTAGCTGTACAGGTAGGCCTTGACGTACAACCACAATTGGGACTGGAACTTTCATCACTAAGTGATGTGGTTGTTAAGTGAGTCACACTCGATTTTACAACCTTTTTTGCCACAGTAGTTAAGCAAATCTGGCTTCCCCCAATGACTTTGCTTGTTGGAAGCCCCCTGGGAAGGTCACAAATGCTATCATATGACCCCAGGACACTGCAACTGTTGTAAATACATGCCGGTTGCCAAGCAACTGAATTTTGATCACATGACCGCAGGGGATGCTGCGATGGTCATAAGTGTGAGAACCTGTCGTAAGTCACTTTTCAGTGCTGTCATAACTTTGGTCATTAAATGAATGATCTTAAGTCGAGGACTACCTGTAGAGAGTAAGGGAAGTAACCTTGATGAAGATACAAATCATTACCTAGACAAAGGGGGGTGAAGCATTTTTAAAGTCTAGAACAGCCAAATAACATTTAGAGGAGGCTCGGGAATATAATGAGGAGGAAGAACAGCACAATCAGACTTGCAAGATTCTGTCACAACAGCTCTGTAATACCAGTTGTATTAGCCTGCATGACTTTGGTTTCCTTGTCTGGTCTACCTGGAAGGGCTGACACCCCTCCATGTTCTTGGGCCCCACCCCTGTCCTAGCACAGTCTCACTGCAAAGTTAACTTTTTCTAAAGCCTCACCTCCTGTGGCCGTCCTAGGGGAAAGCCTTCAGCCAGAGCCACCGCTTGGTCGCAGGTTTGAGGCCCAGCAGCTTTGACCCACCTCTGGAGTTCAGAGGGCAGGATGGCCAGGAACTGCTCCAGGATCACCAGCTCCAGGATCTGCTCCTTGGTGTGCCTCTCTGGCTTCAGCCACCGGTGGCAGAGGTACCAGAGGCGGCTGCAGGCCTCACGGGGACCCTCAGCATCCCAGTAACAAAACTCCCTAAAAAGGGTTCGCTGGGTGTCCGTGGCCGCTGAGTCATCTCTCAGAACATCCTCCCCCACCTTCCAATAGTCGTCTGCCTTGGCAGTGTCGGTCTGCTCACTCTCCCTTCGAGGGTCTCTGCTGAGATCCACTAATCCTTTGTACCGCCAGTAGGTTTCAGCTGCTCCCTCCAATGAGGCCAGACAGGCCTTGGCATTCTCCCACGGGTCAGAAACCGGCTCCTCCTGGTTGGAGGACTGCACTGCCTTCAAAGCAGCCCGCGGGTCTAAGTATTTCAACCTCCGGTCTCCAGCCTCAGTCTTGGCTGGTCGGGAGCCCCCCGTTTCTGCCAAGTCCTCTGCATTCCCAGGTTGGAGGCCTTTCGCTGTTTTCCCTGCCTTCTCCTGGGTGACCCCACGTTTGAGGCTCTCTTGCAATTCTCGTTCGGATTCCGCCTCTGGACTTTTTCCCTTCTCCGGCATTATTTTATGTCTAATGACCAGCTCCTGGAGAGACACCTGTTTGGAAGCATGTTTTTAATTGGAAAGGCTAACACAGGCAGATAAGCTTGAAATAAACACATACATTTCTCCAGGCCAAATTATCTACTTGTAATTAAGCAATTTCAATCCCAGTTAGAGAGCATGGACCAGCGTGCTAACACTGATGTAAAGCTGCTTCAGAAGAAGAGCTGATAAGGAAAAGAGGGTTGGGGGACAGGTAAGCCAAGATCAGCCTATTCAGCCATTTCAATAATCGGTTTCATTCCTCACCCTCCAACTGAGCCCCTGGACACACCGAAGGCTTAAAATCCTGCTTCCCTAAGCAGAAATTACTAGCCAATTTAATTATTATGATTATTAGATTTTTTGCTGCCTTTTTAAAAAATATACATTTGGTCCACATGCTTACTACTCCTGCTAATACAACTGAGCTTCCAGCTTTAGCAGCAGTGTAGCCCTAAATAACGACAGCTTCTTGCCAAAGAAGTTGTGTTCGTGCTTGCAGAGATGGAACACAAAAGTTTTATCTTTGTCGAGTTTTATCTTTGTAAAGGATTACAGAGATTTTAAATGTGTTTAGTTTTCAACTCTCTTCGAACAACAAACTGATCCCCAACAGGCTAAAAAATAAATGCAGACACCCGGTGAAGCCACTGCCTGAGGTTTCTTCCTGCTGTTGTTACCCAACATTTATTAATAGAACCCCACTTTTATTATTTTCTCCTTACGGCTGGCCATCTCATCTACCCCAATTGACCGATTTCTCCCCTTGGCAACGGTTCCAACAGTCAAAATAAATAATATTCAAGGAATGTCATGGCCCATGTTCACACAGCAGGACCAAAGGAAAGCTTAGTTCCCCACAGGATACAAAATGCCATTTTAATCGTCCTGGTGCCAAAAGTTATCCAAGGATGTTGGGCTTATAACGACCTCCAAACAGCCACATCTTTAGTTCCTCTAATCCAGACTAGATAGATAAAACGCCTGTTATTGGTTACAGCACCAGGGTTCAGGAGATCTTTGGGCACTGTTTCCTAAAAACTAAAAAAAAAAAAGGTTTCTTGACAATTTTGGATCCATGCAGAGGGCCAGAGAGGGAGGAGAAGGAGGAGTCTTTACCAACAGCCTCACCTGCATGCTGACTACTATAGATCTTTCCCTGCAGCAGGTCGCCAGAATATAGGGAATAAATTAGAAAAGGGGCTGCAGAGGTCATCTAGCCCAGGGTTCCTCAATCTCAGCGACTTTAAGATGGGTGGACTTCAACTCCCAGAATTCCCCAGCCAGCCTTGCTTCCCCTTGCT